AATCATAACCATCATTCTATCTTCTGCTTCAAAGGAAAATGATGCTCAAAATTTATTGTAAAAGTTCATTTTTTGTTTAGATACACTGTACATATAATGAAATACATAATTCAAGGATTAAAAACTACACAGAAAACTATGACTGAATAATGAACATTTATATGCAAAATTTAACATAAAATGTATTTGGCAAATACATAAAATGTTTTAGTATGATTAATATTTTTATATACAAGGAACTGTTAATTCATCAAAGATGCTGTCAGTTCTCTTTAACATATTCTCTTACACGTATTCTCTTAAAGTTATAAGTTTACTAAATTTAATGTATTTGAATTATTTGTGTTTTCCTTAGAATTCTATTACTGCTAAATATCTATGCTATAAAATGCTATTTGAACTGCTAAATATCTATGCTATAAAATGCTAATGAACCTTTTAGATAAATGTGTACATCTGAAAAAGAAAGTAATAACAGCAAATTTGAAAATTTTGTTTTTTGCTGCATGTGTTTAATAGCTTCTTTCCATTTGTAGAACATGCTTTTCCTTCTGCTAAATGCTAATTTTAGCTGTACATAAATACGCATCATTAAATTTTATTTAATTAAAATCTTGAACTAACATTTTAGAGGTAACCATTTCATAGAATTAATTTTGAATGATATAAATGATGGAAAGTTTATCAATGATTATGCATACTCTATGCAAATAATTCAGGAAACATGATATCCAGGGAAAGGTGGAAATGATATAAATGATGGAAAGTTTATCAACAATTATGCATACTCTATGCAAATAATTCAGGAAACATGATATCCAGGAAAAGGTGGGAGAACAGCTTAGTGTCAGATTTGAAGCATTAAAAATAAAGTATAAAAAGTTTACGACTACAAAATTCTTTAAATTGCTTCTAACCAGACGAAATTCTTTAAATAAAAATGTATCAGAAAATACAGTGAATGAAGAGACTAAGAATTACACTAAGTCCAAATAAAGATTTCTTAGTATTAAAGAAGCAGTTTTTGCTAAAACAAGAAACTTAAATACTGAAACTGAGTCTCAGGCAGGGTTTTAAACTCAGATAAAATTACCTAAAACAGAATTAACAAAATCTGATTGATATTTAAAAAGCTAAATTGTTTCTGACAATAGTTTGTTAAAATTCATAATGATAATTCCATATCCAGTGAAGATAAATTTGAATATTTAAGAATATAAAATATGGGACTCCAGCACATAATTGAAGATATCCTACCATCAGGGGAAAATTATAAGAAAGCTATAGAACTTCTAAACCTGAGATAGGAGAAACATGATTTTTATTACAAGTCTATTTTCACGAGTTGCTACCTCTTGTTCAACTAAAAGGGAAGTATATTACAATTTCATATATGTTATAACAAATTGAAATCACAACTGTATGAATCCTTAGATGTAACTAAAAAAAGGTATGGAACCATACTTTCTCATGGCTTCAACTCAAGAAAATTTTCAAATTCTGGAGGAAATATAAGGTAAATAAAAAAAGCTTCAACTGAAGTCCTAGTCACTGTTCATGAAAGTTAATACCATTTTTGAAAACAGAAATAAAAAGAAAGGTGCAATTAAGAAAAACTTTCATTGCAACTCACAGACATTGCATGGGCTGTTACATAAATATAAGATATGCATTACATCAAGAGCCACAGTATTATATTTAAGAAGTCATATTCTCCTCAGGCTTATGCAATTACTACTGACTCTTCTTTAGAAAGAAAGGCAGCTTGTCATAAAAAAAGTGTGAGTTTCTGCTTTCTAAAGTGCACAATTCCAAATGCAAAGCCATTTATGACATGTGTGATATGTATAGGAAAATATTATCTGATATTAGGCAAAATACTGTTTAAAAAAGAAAATGTTTCAAGGGAGAACACCTACAGCACGTTGACATAGTCCTAGAAATAGATTATTCATTTACAAACTTGACTTGTTAATGTAGAGTTAAGTGATCCCTGATTATAAAGAAATTAATATTAAGGACTGTGCAAAAGTATGGAAGCTGAAACCTATGGGATGTAGTACAAAAAACTGTATGGAAATAACAAGATTGCATTTGCATTACACTGAGCTTGCGAACTTTTACTGAAAAGTTTGGACTCAATTGTTAATGCACATTTAAATATACTTGATCAAAATTACATTTGTGGTTATGTTTCCTAACTTAAAGATGCTGTACTTAAGTTTAAGACACAAGGAAAACTTTGTAAACAATTTTCAAACACAACTGATACTCTTGCTGATATGAAGATGATATTAGGAATTGATGTAAGGTCTCAAAATATTACAGCTGATTTTTTTCAAAATAAATGAATATCTGACAGCTTCAAAAACTGTATGGTCACTAGTTGGGATGTTAAGGAGTGATAAAGCATCTTCTCAAATTTGTTCTTAAGGCATTTTCAAGTTCTGAGAACTTAGAATGCAGAAGAATCAAAGTACCTGAAAAACTATACAAAATGACACACAATGCAAACTTTGTGAATTCTTTGAACAAACCAAAGATAACACAAGTTAATATATTATAAAATTACCTAGTATCAAAGTTGTACAACTGCAGGGAGGCAACAAATAGAGCACTGTACACTACAACCTGAAAATGAAATCAACTTCATAAACGTGAAGCCCATGACTTAGATCATATTTTAATCTGTGACTTAATCATATGAGATTAGTAGAGATGGTGCATAAATGAATTAGTTGAAGCTGGACAGCAAACTTCTTAAGCATTTTATTCATCCCATCCAGCTGTACTGAATGAAAATAGCACACCTGTAAGATCAGTATTTCATGTGTCAGCCATAGGCAAAATTAAACATTTTTAAAATGAATTCTCAGAAAAAAAAGCCTAACTTAATTGAAAAAATATCCCTCATTCTATTCAATGTCAGGTAATATCACTTTGGATTACCTATTGACAGTGAGAAAGCCTCTTTACAGACAGGTATCGATGAAGCTGATCCTTATTAAGATTTCGGTGGTGGCAAAAGGATAGAATAAATATTTTCCATCCTTATACAACCATTTTCTGAAGTGGCCACTTTCTTGTTGGATGTATATATAATTTGTTACAGAATGCTTCAGACCATCTTGTAAAATAGGCTTAAAAATTTCTCAAATCTTTTTATGTGAGTCACTGTTTGGCATATATGCATAATGTAAACTAATGGAAAACATTTATCTCCAGATAAAAAGGTAATTAATGCCTTTAGTTGAATTTAATTTTAGAGGATGGCTTAGTAATTCACCACACAAAAGTGCAGAAATTATTTTTGAAGGTAAACTACAATACTAATACTGCTGTACAATGATATTATTGAATTAATGAAATAGGATGCAGTATACCTCTGATGAATTGTTTTGGCAAAAATATCGCTTTTACTTGCGACTTAAATTATTTTTGATTCTATTGGTTTTACTACCTCTCCCAATAACTATGCTTGCTAGATTATTACAACAAAAAACATGACCTCTGCAATTAGGTTGGGATGAAATTTTATGTTACTAGTCAGGTTGTATATTTCTTTTTTTTTCTTTTCCATTTGTTTAAGAACAAAATATTCAGTAAACCTTTTAACCAGATTTCTGAATTACAGAAAGTTAAAAAAGAGAAACTGAAGAGCAATTTTTGTGCAAAGAACATTGAACAAGAATTGATAGCAATTCATCTGGTTAATGTATTTTCAAGTCATATGCTAAAATTGTTAAAAGAAGTTGCATGGATATTTCATTAAAAAGAAAATTCCAGGTAATTTAAGACTTCATACATCACAGTAAAAGAAATATCAAAAAACAAAACATTAATCTTCTGATGCAGTCAATATACACAGTTTTCTTTTTATCAGAAAGAACAGTACAAATAGTATGAAGCCTCTTCAAGTCTATAAAGATGATCGAGGAAAAAAATTTTTTTAAATGAAATCAGGACCAATAGCTAAAAAGGATACTAAAGAATATACATATCCAATTCTTCCTGAACATCCTTTAATTGAAAGTAAGATAAAATAAAAACACTTGTTCTAAGCATGCTGGACAATTTTAGATTATCATTTTCAGGAGAGGTTTATATCTTAGAACAAAAGAACACCCCAAAGCTGAACTAGAGAAAGATCTCATATACACACAGGTTGAGAGACTAATGTAAGAAGGAGAAAGCCTGGATTTTAAAAATGTTTTTGAAAATCTGATCATATGAAAACTGAAATCTTTGATTATGTTTCGGGTTTATAAAGCTCTTTTTTTAAAAACAGAATGTTAGACAATACTATTTTGAGCTTGAGATTATACTATATACATGGCAGTGAAAACAATAAAAGCATATTTGAAAATTTCGCTTTTAGATTCATGTGTGCGTTTGGTATTCATCATTTTTAGACATGATTTTTTTCCCGCTAAATGTCAATTTTATCTATCAGCAAATGCTATAGTATAATTTTATTTGATAAGTGCCTTAAGATGAGTTACTATTTTAGTCTGCACTTAACAATTTGATACATAGTAATTAGGCAGAATGAATAATTCTGAATCACAGCATGTTATATTTTTAGTTATAGAATCTAAATTTGCAACTTTTGTTTGTACACCCACATAAAGAATTTCTCTATAACACCTTAGTTCAATAATGCAAACTTCACTGCAGAGTATTCATTCAGAAAGGCTTTCCGAGAATGCTTTTACATTACATTGAGTGAAACATTAAAGATAAAATTGCACTAATATTTAAACTACCATTAAATGCATTTCACAGCTTGTTATTTAATTTATAAATAATAATTTACTAAATGTTGCAATCAGTTTTTATTATGATTACTGATTATTTTAGACTGTCTTTATAATATCTTATAGATTTACATACAAATACTTAATGAATTTAATTTAAATACACACTTATCAATAATAACATTATACATTATCATACAGAATAACTTATACTTAAAACATATCACTGAGAGTCATATTTACATTGAAAAGTGATTCGATATATAAACGTTCTTCAACAAGTCTTCTCATTTCCTTTTCACATTCGTGGACATTGATAACTGCTTCCTGAAAAATGAAGGAGTAAACTTCAGAAAAGTTATTACAATGTCTGAGGCCTTAGCCCATTTGTATCAATGCAACAGAAAAAGTCATTTAAAAAAAAACAATTGTGGAAGTTAAGCTTTCACACTGAAACTATACCTGTATCATGTTACAATGCCTAATTTACAAGAATATATCTAAGTATTTCCTTAATGGTTTCTTATTTGTAAATAGTACACAGTGTTGTACAAAAATGTTATTGCATACGTTCTCATACCTCTGTAACTGTAATTTTGCATAGAACTCTTAGGTTTTGATTTTGAACTATAACTGCACAGAATTTTGTAAAACGATGTAAAATATGCTTGCAACTTTAATTGCTTCATTAAATGTTTCAAAATATTAATTACTAAAGGTAATTACTATGGTGAAGTATCTTTTTCTAAATGGCTAAAATCTCAAGATTCATCCAAATTCACAATTAATATTAATATCATAATGAATATTAATAAATATTAATATATTTTCTATTTGGCTAAAATCTCAAGATTCATCCAAATTAACAAACAATTTACAAATCCAGTTACTGAAAACAGAAGTAAGAAAGCTTAAGGTCTCCATTCCTTGATTGAACATTTTCTTGAAAATATGACACCCTCCTGCTCGGATGTTGTAATATTAGTTTGCTATTACTGAAAAATCTAATGTGTTCATCAAATATATTGATTAAGTATTGTATATTTTGAAACATTTTGGTCAGTAAAGAATGAATGAAGAAATTATTTCTAAACTGAAATGCAGTACAGCCAGATTAGCAGTTATTAAAATTCTTAATAGGATAGAGTCTGATCTTTTCGAAGATAAAATTAATTTAAATGAATTTAAAGAAAATTCAGAACTGCTGAACTGAAAGGTTAATATCTGAAAGTCTGTTGACAGTGAAATAGAAGAGGTTTTAAAACTGTAAAAAACAGAAACTTAGAAAATGTGGATGAATATCTAGATAAGATAATTTTATGCAAAAATATATGTTCAGAGCCAACAAGAAAATTAGACAGATAAAAAATAAAAATTTATTAATTTACCTGTGAGAAGTTCACAAATTTAAATGAAGAAACTCATTCTAAAAATCTTAGAAATGCTTCTAAAGGAACTGGTAATGTGAAAACTCCTAAGCTCAAGTTAAATAAATTTTACTGCAATACTAATCAGTGGCTTACATTTTCGAGCTCATATGAATCTGCGGTTCATGAAAACGAATTAGTAAAGAAAATTGATAAATTTAACCTAAAGGCTCATTTATGTGGTTCTGCATTAGTATACTATTAATGGTTTCTCGATTACATCTGATTATTATCATAAGGCTCTCAAATCCTTAACTGACCAATGTGAAAAAACTGTTCACATGAGTTAAGTATTTCCCTTCTTAAGTGTTCTAAAATGACAGAAGCTTTCAAAAGTTATTAGATAATGGTCAGATGCAAATTTGTAGTTTGGAGTCCCTTGGAATTTCTTCAGGCACTCATGGGAATTTGTTATGCCCCATGATTTTAAAATGTTTAACCTCTCAGATCTAGTTTCTGAATTTAACAAAGAAACTGGACACTCCAAATATAAAGCTGATGATTTAATCAGCTTCTTGAATGTTCAGTTACATGCCAGAGAAAAAGTTGGCACTTGAAGAAAGGAAATTTATTTAAATGAAAAAAGAGGTTTGCTTCAGATGTTTGAAACAAAACAAACATTTATCAAGATGGTGTAAAATAAAAGTAATTTGTTAATTTTGTAAGGGAAGACATTTTGATATTATGTGGTTTTCAACTCAAAATAATTACCTTAATAATACAGGAGCTAGCTGTGAAAACTAAATAAATAATAATACTGTTTTGTCAAACTCTTGCACAAAAGAAGTGTACTTACAAACTTTAATTATTAATATAACAGAAAATGGGAAAGAATATTTGGTATGCATTATAATAGATTCAGAAAGCCAGAAGAGCTATATAAGCAAATTTGTGTCTGAGAAACTGGGGTTGAAATTCCTACGCGAAGAAACAGTGATACATGGTTTGCTTTGGGGTGCTGAGAAAACACAAAATCACAAAAGGTATCTTGTGAAGCTATCTAGTATTGATAAAAAATATCAGATACAATTTGAGGCCGTGGTTCAAAAAAATATTTGCTTGACTATTCCTAGAATTAGAGATAGTGACTGTATAAAAGATTTTAAAGAGCTTGGCATATATGTGAGCGATATTGCTTTAAATGGAAATTCATGTCTGTTCGAGAATTCAAACAAAATACAAGTTCTTAATAAGAGCAGATTTGGCTGGAAAATTATATAAAGGAAAAATAAAATATCTAGCTAAGAGTTTTGTAGCCATGAATACCAATTTAGGCTGTACGTATTTTGGGTAAGTGTAGCAACGAAAACAAAAATGACAGTTCCTTGTTAGTTCTCTCTACGTAAGCAATACTCAGATATTGGATCTATAGAGTTTAGATTTTTTTGGAGTAACTGACCCTATTAGAAAGAGAAAAAAAAAACTATGAAGAGCTTGCTTTTAAACACTTTAAGGAAACTGTTGATCAAGTAAGGATTCCTGGTTAGAAGACCCTCCTCAATTGTTAGATAATGAACATTTATATAGAAAAGACTTACTCAGTGAGATCCCTTAATTCTTCGTGTAAACTAGCAGCCTATCAACAAGTGTTTAATGAGCAGGAAAAAGAAAATATTACTGAACAAGTACATTCGAGTGAGGATTCTAAAAGTGATGCGGATTTATATATCCCCATTACGCTAAATTGAACTGTTATAAAAGAAAATTCCGCAACTGAAATAAGACCTGTTTTCGACGGATCAGCTAAAACTTGTAATTCAGTGTGTCTTAATGACTGTATATAAGAACCTAATTTGATTGAACTCATCTTTTCAGTGTTAAATCATTTCAGATGGGGAAGGATAGAAGTTACAGTGGATATTCTGAAGGCCTTCATATAAATACGCTTATGTGAAAATGACAAGAATTTTCTGAGGCTTTTATGGTGCCAAGATGGAAATCCTGCATCTGAAATTTGTTATAAACATTGCCATGTAGTTTTTGGTCTTTCCTGTAGCCCTTTTCTTCTAGCTGCAGCACTAATGCATCATTCAGACTAAGCATCTGAAAAGGCAGAACTGGCAAGAAAAATCAAGGATTCACTGCCCGTCGACAACTGTTCAACTAGTGTGGATTTTTTAGAACTAAATATTTTCAAGTCCGAATCTCAAAACTGTTGAGTCGCGCTAAATGTGATCTATGAGAGTGAGAGCACAGTCATCTATCTTCATCCACAGAAAATGATTGAGAAGGAAAAGAAGATCTAGTTTTAGGACTACCTTGGAATCCTCATGATGATACATGATGACTGACTTAAAAGATATCCACTGATAAAAAAAAAATTATTCCAATAACTAAAAGAAAGATTCTCGCTTTGGTTCATAAAATCTTTGATCTTTTAGGTTTCAGCTGTCCCTTTACATTAGTACCAAAAATTACTGTTACAAAAATGTTAGAAACTTAAAAGTCCCACAGGACATGGAATAGCCATCAGAGATCACAAGAAAATACCAGAAATGGAAAAATAAACTATCAGAAATCAAGAAGATTAAAATTTCTCGAAAATTATCAGGTTTAGAACTTCAATACAAAAACTGAATCATTGCATGTGTTTTGTGACACATGCCAATGCAACACGTATTTTCTTGAGTGTGTAAGCAAAAAATGCAGTGAATTGTGAACTAGTGCAAGCAAGATCCAAAGCTACCTTAAAAAAAGTAAGTATAGCCCGATTGCAATTTCTTTGCAATATCGGTGCTTGATTAGCCAATACAGTTAAAAAGGATTTTAAATTAGACAAAACAGAAACATACTTCTGGTCTGATTCAGTGGATGCCCTCTGCTGGATTAAGAAGAGGGATAATTGGAGCATATTTGTTTCTAATCGGGTGACAGAAATTAGAAATTTGACATCAACTGATCAATGAAAATATGTACCTGGAGTACGAAATCCAGCTGGTCTTCCATCTCGAGCATCTTCGGTGAAAAAATTCCCTAAAGGAAAATAGTGGGAAGGTCTTATATGGCTAAAATATTCAAGAGATGAATGGCCAAATTTCAAACACATGCCAAATGGAGAAACTGTAAATTCATAAATGAAGATTATAGTAACCTCTATAAATTAAGAGAAAACCGATTTCTTCTATCACATAACTTCATACAAAAATATATTTAGAATTAAAGGATAAATTTATAGATTTTTTAAGAATGCTAGATGACCTATCAAGAAAAGTCAAGGGCCATTAAAGGCAGGTGAAACTGATAAACAGAAAAGATTAAAGAAAATTCCAAGAAGACGTTTTGTTCGGAAAAGATGACAAACAACTATGGTGTCTGTAAACAATTACTGATTCAAAAGGATTATTAAAAGCAAGGACAAAGGTTTTTATGCAAAAAGATGAAGAAAATTTTAGACTTCCTCTAGCATTATCTTCCAGTCACCACATTGTTAAAAGCTTTCTTATGTGAAAACACTAAGAGCTGGGACATGCTGGTGTACAGTATTTAATGTTAACATTACGAGAAAATTACTGGATACTGAACAGCAGGATAACAGTCACGAAAATTATAAAGATGTGCTCTATTTGCAAGACTTTCATCAGAAAAATCATGTTCGAAAAGCTTTAGTTTTTTAGGTCATAGCAAATCTTTGTGGTCTCCTACATTTAAGAAATGGATCCAAGAGTTGAAAGTACGTGTGCCGTTCATTCGAGCTGTTCATATTGAACCAGTACCATCATTACCTATGAATAGTTTTATTCTAGTATTGAGATTTATTTTATTGCAAGAAAAGGTCATCCTAGCATTGTCTATTCCGAGAATGGAACAAATTTATGTGATTCAGTTTTTGTGGAAGATGAAACCAATTCCCTTTTTAGTCATGACTGAAATGTTGTAGAGATACACAGAAATAAGATGCGT